AAAAATAAAAAGAAAAATGGTAAAAAAAAAAAAAAAAGAAAAAAAAAAAGCAAACTCGAGAATTTCATTTACATATTATCGCACAATTTCTAGAAATACGAATGAACTGAGGTTAATAATTCCTTTTTATGAATGAGAACGTAACGGTAGTATATTTACTTTACACTTCATTCTTACATGAGTCATTTAATTTATCTCTTATTCCATTTCTTTTTACATTTTTATATATAAATAAAAATCATTTTATTTGATTTTATTTTGTTTAATAAATGTATACATTTTTATATGTATATTTATTGTGTGTGTGTCTGTTACAATTTTAAATTTCTTTTTAAATATAATATTAATATTATTATAAAATATATATTTAATTTATTATTATTATTATTAATTAATTTATTTATTTATTTATTTATTTACCATTTATCATTCATCTTTATTATCGCCATTTTTATTTGTAATTTTTAATACCTTTCTTTTTCCTTTTTTATTTTTCAATTAGATCAATTAAAAAATGATTAGGATTTAAAGAACGAGGAAATAAATAAGAGGCGAGAAATAGGAATAGTAGGAAAGCATTTAGATTCATTCCAAGCAACAACCTCTTCGTGTCCTCCATGTCTCTTCTTCTTCTTCTTCTTCTTCTTTTTCACACTGTAGCTTATGTTAGTAGTGTATCGCTAACTGTATACATGTGTATGTACGTGTATGTATAATGCATATGGTAGCACTCTCTCAGCGTATTCAAAGGGTATGCATGTGTATGTATATACATACTAGAACGTTTGATCGATGCTTAAATCAAGATTGCCAGTGTATATCTGTGTGAGGGTGTGTGCAATCTAAACGATGGGTTGCGTGTCATCTTGCACGTTTCCCCGTTGCTCTTGATAACTCGATATATATATAGAGTTATCGATATATACATATCGATATATGTTATAATAATGTATAGAGTACTCGATATATACATATATATACATATATATGTATATGCGAATGATATTTGACTCTTATTAGCCCGCGTTTTTTTCAAATCGATACAATGCAAATAACGTGACCAACATAATCTCGGTGATGTGATCAAAAAATTTATGAGAAAAAAAAAAAACTAGAGGTGCATAATTCAACTAATGTAAATTTAAAATAATTCTCAAAATTATAAATTTAAATATTAAAGTAATAAAGAGAGAGAGAGAGAGAGAGAGAGAGAGAGAGAGAGAGAGAGAGAGTAAATATGCAAGGTGAATGTGTAAATGAATTTATACTGTAACCAATAATGGAAAAGGTTCGATTTGATTTGATTCGAAAAAAAAGGTTGAGCAGCACTGATCTTAAGGCAGTTTTTTAAGTTACGTTAGTTAACGTTACGTGATAATATTTTTAATTACCTTCGCGAAAGATTTATAGTAGTTTATTCGATTAAAAATTTGTATATTATGGCATTTGTATTTTGAGTGACCAATGAGAAGGCACGATTTAATTCGATTCGATATAATCGAGATAATCGAAATTCGTTTTATTTATTGCTATGTGAATTTGGACCAATTGGAATGATTCGATTTGATTTTAATTCGATATAATTATATTGAGAAACTTTGAATGAATATTTAATCTGATTTTTAATTACTTTTATAAAATATTTGAATTTAAACAAAAAATTAACATTAAATAAGGATTGATATAACAAACTGAGTATCATTGTTGAACTCACAACGCGACATTTTTTATTTAATTAACCCATTAACTGCCAAATTATTTTTTGTTTCAGAAATATTTATATTATTTAAAATGTCTTTGAAAAATATAAAAGATTGTGGCTAGTTGCACGAAAAAAAAAAACTAATAAGAGACTATTATTATTATTTCATTAAAAATATGAAATGTCTGATTTCGAGATGAAATTAATCCAAGTGATCAGACATTTCATAGTTAATAACTTAATACTTATTTCTTTTATTTATTATCTTATACATACAAAATGGCTATTATTATGTCATTTTTCCATACAGTCCACATAAAACCGAGTGGTGTACGTAAAATTCTAAAATCCTCAAATGAAAATCGTGGATACTTATGGATTAATATTGAAAATAATGAAAAAATTTGGGATCTCTTGCAGGGGCATGGCGTAGGAATTCGACCTATCTACTTGTCTTTTGAATTTAGCCACCAGATAGCGTATTCGAGTGCTAGAGATCCCACATGTGGCGTAGCAATTTGACCTATCTACTCTAATTTAGAATTTAGCCACCAGATAGCGTATTCAAGTGCTAGAGATCCCACATGTGGCGTAACAATTCGACCTATCTACTCTAATTTTGAATTTAGTCACCAGATAGCGTATTCAAGTGCTAGAGATCCCACGTGTGGCGTAACAATTCGACCTATCTACTCTAATTTAGAATTTAGCCACCAGATAGCGTATTCAAATGCTAGAGATCCCACGTGTGGCGTAACAATTCAACCTATCTACTCTAATTTTGAATTTAGTCACCAGATAGCGTATTCAAGTGTTAAAGATCCCACGTGACGTCGTAGCAATTCGACCTATCTACTCTAATTTTGAATTTAGCCACCAGATAGCGTATTCAAGTGCTAGAGAGATCCCACTACGTGGCGTAGTAATTCGACCTATCTACTCTAATTTTGAATTTAGCCACCAGATAGCGTATTCAAGTGCTAGAGATCCCAATTCCAAATAGAAGAAAAAATTTGCATTTTACAAAACAAAACAAAAAGATTGAGAGTCACTGAATCTTAAACGCGGCATTCTCTCTATGCAATTAAATACTTTCTAATTAAATTTTCAATTAAATATTAAATGTCTAATTATACATGAACATTCTCCAATCGAGTTTTCTCTGTAATCTTTCCAGTGTATGTAATATCAAACTTGTCTGGTATGTCAAAGTTATCACCTTTTTTTTCTTTTCTTTACTTTTTTTCTATTTTTTTCCTTTTTTTTTTTTTATTTTTTTATTCCTGTCCTTCGTTCACGTTCCGTAAATAACGGATGTAAGGGAATTGACGATTCTCGATTATGCGATTATATGACCTACCTACGTAGCTCACAATCACTAAAACACATAGGATATCTGATGAATGATTTTTAAATTTCGTACCAAGGTCTATTTCTCTCTCTCTCTCTCTCTCTCTCTCTCTCTCACACACACTTTTTCTCTTTCACTTACATATAGACATGCAAAACAATTCTGACAAACGTGTGTATCTCTTTCTCTCTCTCTCTCTCTCTCTCATTCAGTCATTCTCTAACTCACTCTCTTACTTTTATTTTATTTTTTCTCATTTAGTTGTTTTTTTTTTATTTTTTTTTTTTTTATACATTTTATAGGTTATTTACGTAAGCACATTGTCTATCTCTTTTTATACACCGTTTCTTTACATTATTTTTTTTTTGTCTTCTTTCTCACGTTGCTTTTCTCGTAACACCTTATAAATTACACATACACACATATGTGTACATATTAATCAGATTTATTGTCTTATCTAATTTATATTGATTAAATATAATAAATGAAAAGTTTTTAAAAATAATGATGATTCTTTCTTTTGTTTTCTTTTCTTTTTTTCTTTTTTTTTTTTTTTTATCATTTTGATTATACAAAATTAAGATTTCTCATTGAACATCATAATAATATGAGTGTGTAAATATAATATTTATAATATGTATATATATATATATACGTTTGTATGGAAGAGAGAAATGGTTTTTGTTTAAAGTAAATTATAATTCATGATAATATATATCTTTCAAAATGTTATTATTCCTTTCATGACGATTTTAATGTCTTATTATCTTTCTTACCTTTGCGTTATAATTCAGGAAGAAAATTACACATTATCAGCATATTTAAAATGATACCGATAAGCAAAAAAGAATATAATCTTACAAATGGAATATTTTTTAATGTCATTATGTGTATTACTCGATAAAAAGAAATATATATATGTATATATATATATATATAATACTTTAATAATAATAATTTGAAATTTACTTTTTATTAATATAAAATTTGATTGTGAAGTAGCATATTATTAATCTTAAATTAGATTGATCTAAATTATTAATCAGATAAAATTAATTAAAAGTAAAAATAATCTTTTTATAAAAATAAAAAAGAATACTAAAAAACGAATCTTATCTTATGAACGAATGTATCATATGTATAAATATATATATGTATCATATCATATGTATCATATGTGTATATATGTATTGAGTTTTATTGAGTTGAGTAATGTTTTATTTATTTTTATTAAATTTTTATAATTTATTATATATATTATATACATATTATAATTATATATATTATAATTTATGTATTATAATTATATTATTTTTAAGTTACATTATATAAATAAATATATATATATATATATATATATATATATAT